TGTTTCTTTTATAAATTATTATAAAGCAAACATTTTTTACATATAAAATCTTTAAAAAATAAACAAATAAATCTATAATTTTGAGAAAAGCAATAGTTAAGTAGGCATTTAATTTTTTGTTGTTGTGTGTTTAAATGGAAATAGTTTTGTTCATAAATGAAAACGTAGGCTAAAGATTGGGGGAGGTTTTAAAAATACAATTTGCCTCAAGATTGTAAGCAAACAATTTGCAACACAGAATATTTACATGGTAATATGGTCATATGCATATGCGAAATCAGAGAGGTGTGGCAGTGTTTATTGTCATGGGATTTGATAGCTTGGGTTGCGTCTGTAATAGTGAATATTATTAATCTATTCATTGTTTTGGACGATTAATTCATAAAAAATAGCAGAATTTGTTAGAAGAAACCAAATTATCCATTGAGAGAGGATATAGGAATTATTGTTTTGTTTTTGGAGGATCTGGCCGATTTTTCCTTGCACCTCCACATTTTTTCCGACATTTCCAAAATTTTCTAAATACTTAAACTACTTTTTTTATAAGGGTATTTTTTTTTTTCTCAGGAACAAGATATTTCAGAATGATATTTCTGGAAATAGGTAATTATAAGACAAATACTATACTCAACAAAATATTAAATAACTCTTTTCCTCCCACAAAATTCTTATGAGACTTCAATAATTCCTTGGACATAAATTATACCTAAAATGAATTGGTGGGAGCAATGCTCAAACTACCCACCTCAACATTTCTGGAATCCAAAAACAAAAGTCCGTTATAAAAAAACTAAAGGTTTTCACAATTGAATAAAACTGGAAAGAAATGGGAAGAATATCTAATATCATTCTCATTAAAACACAGATATAGTAATTATCATTTACTATTAAGCCATTGCAAACAAAAGATGAATGACAAGTAACAATTATCGAAATCATAGTATGCCTTCTGTAGGAGCAGGTGTAAATTACTACAGAGTGGAGCAGATGTGTCACTGAATAAATTACATAAACAAACGCATGAATAATAATTGAAATATGAAATGTTCATCCTTACTGAAAATGAAACGCGCACATGAAGTTGTGTGAAGAGTTAATTTGCTGCTAAAAAAATTGTTTCAAGTAGAAAGTACCCGTAGTGCAGTTTCCTTAGTTCCTTTTACTAGTTTTAGTAAAATAGTTAGATTTTGATTTTCTAGTGATCTGTAATAGTTAGTTCAGTGTTTGGTAATCCCTTGGAATTTAGAACTTGTCTTGATTGTTATTTTCTAGTTTTACTTTTTGTTTAGTATAGTTTCTAGTTTTTACTTAGTCTAACATGCATTTCTTAGGTTTATATAGGTGAATTTTGAAGCTTTTGTTGTTAGTAGTGGTTAGAGTAGATTTGAGCACTCTTTCATCATTTGGAATTTGCTTAGCAACTTAGTTTACTGTTTAGGTAGCTTAGGTATTCATTTTTACTGTTTAGGTAGCTTTGGAATTTTTACTGTTTAGTTTAAGTGTGCTGAACATTTTTAGTTTTTCCAGTTAATACACAATAAAAAGCATCCTTGTGAATATCACAAATAAGCTTCAGTCTATCATACGTGAATAATTGATAAACCTTGATGATTGCAAATGCTCGCTGAATGGTTCAGATTTCATTGAAGGATGTGTGAAATTGAAGCTGGAAGATCTAAGTTTTTTCTTTTACTAAGCTGCAAGTCTGCTGCACTGATATCAGTTCTCACAAATCATCCACATATTAATAGCTGCAGTTCTTTCCTGGTTCTATCTTTCTTACACCATCTCTTTCAATTCTGTTCAAATTTTTGTAGTAGTTAATCCTAGTTTTTTGTTTCAGTTTCGTAAGCATTTAGTGATTTCCATTTTTCAGTTCTGTTTCTGTAATTGTTTTAATAGTTTAGCTTGATATATCAGAATTGCTTGATTGTGGTGTAATAGGACATAGAAAGTGCCTAGTTTTGTTTTGCATGATAGTAGTGTTCTAGAGTAGTTTATCAAGTGGCGCATGATAGCTATTTGGATTCTAGTATTCTTTTGCTGTTTTCAATCGGTAGAAATTAATTTGGGTAGTTTTAATTGATGTCTTGAGTTTAGCTAGTTGCAAGTTCTGTTTTACTGTTTTTAGGTAGTTTCTTAGGGTCATAGGGTCATATTTTAGATTTCATGCTTTCTTAAGTAGATAAATAGAAGTAAAATTAACTTAGTTTAGTGATTTTGAGTTGTGTGAAGTGTTAGTTTGCGGTAAATTCTGTTTCAAGTAGAAATTAGCCTTAGTGCAGTTTCCTTAGTTCCTTTTGACTGGTTTTAGTAAAATAGTTAGATTTTGATTTTCCAATAAATTGTAGTGGTTAGTTCAGTGTTTGGTAATCCCTTGGCATTTAGAACTTGTCTTGATTGTTACTTTCTAGTTTTATTTTCTGTTTGGCATAGTTTCTAGTTTTACTTTGTCTAACATGCATTTCTTAGGTTTATATATGTGAATTTTGAAGTTTTTGTTGTTAGTAGTGGTTAGAGTAAATTTTAGCATTCTTTCATCATTTAGAATTTGCTTAGGAACTTAGTTTACTGTTTAGGTAGCTTAGGTATTCATTTTCACTCTTTATAGCATGATGCTAGGTACTAGAGTTAATTTTAAGTAAAATTTTAGGTTTCTACTAGGCAAATTTCGAGTTTCCTGTTAATTGTGAGTTTTAAGTTGATTTGTATATTTCTTGTACCATTATAAGGTTGTCTAGGTAGTTAGATAGCAATTCCAATTTTCATTATAGTGTAGTTGTCGTATTTCTCAAATTTAGCCATTCTAGTTCAAGTTTTAGGTCTTCACTAGGAAGATTTTGAATTTATGGTATTTGTGAGTTGTGGCTTGGATTTTATATTTCTTTTGCCATTTAGAAGTTGTCCAAATAGTTTGATGACAGTTTCATACAGTAAGCTTAAATCATTTTTCAGATTTTGAATATTTAGTCTTTTGTTAAAAGTTATGAATGAAATTAATTTTTTTTATGTTAAATATATATCTAAAATATTTTATTTATAATAGAATAAATATAAATTAAATCAAATAAAATTTTTAAGGTCAAAGGAAGTGTTCACCAGATAATGAAATTTGGCTCATGTCACTAGATCCGGAGAAATTGTAGCAAATTTCTAGTTCTGATTTGAAGAAGGCGTATTTTAGAAATCCGGTTTTGTTGCAGTTTGTTGTTAACTGAATATTGCATTTCACCATATCTAGAGAAATTGTACTGGATTCAAGTTCCGATTTGAAGAAGGAATAGTCGAATTTTGAAATTTAATTATGTTAACCGTTACCGGTGCAAAAAGGACTTTAGACGTATGTTATTTTAGGCTTTTAACGTCTGATTTATGTTTGACGTCTATATGGGTGACGTTAATGAGACATCATACCCAATAGGTCAAACGTTTATATGGGTGACGTTAATGAGACATCAGATCCAATAGGTCAAACGTCTATATAGACGTCTGATCCATACGGACGTCTGACACTATAGATCTGACACTATAGATCAGACGTCTAAAATGTTGCCGTATTTGATTGCATCTTTTTTCACTTGTATTGGATGCTTTTAAAGCCGCCCCAGAATGCCGCCCAATGACACGAGCAAAACTGCACCAAAACCCAACGAAAACACATTTTAATTAGTTCAAATGAAAGATAATGCATCAAAGATTGATGTAATCGGAGTAAAATTAATTTAAAACGGTGCAAAAGTGAGAAATCGAACCTGAAAAACGTAACTCGTACAGAGAAAATCGAGGAAGATGATGAACATTAAGTGCGTGTAACTCCTGCCTCGCGTTCGCAGTGTTTTAATGCACCCATATAAAAGTCGGTTCCCCATCAAACATTTATATGGCTGTAGAAGTCGGATTGACGGGATCAGACGTATAAATGGAGTTAAAAAGTAACTTTTTAGATTTCAAAAATAAGTATATAGAAGTCGATTCCCCCCACATCAAACGTCTATATAGCTGTAGAAGTCGGATTGGTGGTATCAGACGTCTAAATGGAGTTAAAAAGTAACTTTTAAAACTTAAAAAATGAATATATAGAAGTCGGTTCCCCCACATCGGACGTCTATATGGCTGTAGAAGTCGGATTGGCGGGATCAGACGTCTAAATGGAGTTAAAAAATGACTTTTTTGATTTTAAAAATGAGTATATAGAAGTCGGTTTCCCCCACATCGGACGTCTATATGGCGCTGTGGAAGTCGGATTGGTGGGATTTGACGTCGCTGTGGAAGTCGGATTGGTGGGATTTGACGTCTAAATGAAGTCAAAACGTGACTTTTGATTTAAAAAATGAGTACATAGAAGTCTGCCCCCACATCAGACGCCTATATAGGTGTTTTATTTACGGAAAATGTCATCGGTCATTTTTTACGTTGGATATTCGAAGGTCAGACATCTAAAAGATGACGTTAAAGGTCTTTTCTGCACTAGTGCGTATTAGAAAATGGAGTTCTTCTTACTAGATTTTGAGATTCGGTTTGATTGTTGAGTAATATAATATTCAAACTTTATAGAATTTTGAAATCTCATAGTTTTTGTTTCTCGGATCACGAAATGGGGTGGATACCGAAATTAAGAAATCTGATTTGTATTGACAGGATGTAGTGAGGGACCGAAACACATATTTCGGTGTGTATTTTGAAATTTTTATGTTATTTTCTTCTCTGTTTGCTTTTCAAATTTTCATGTCAATGATATCTGATTGTTCTCTTTTGGTTGAGAGGAGATAAGGGTGTCAGATTGGGGAGTCTGAGGAAGGGTGAACGAAGAAGAATGAACAGGTTATTTATTTAAATATTTAATATATAATAATGAGGGGCAAAATCGGAATAATGGAAATATTTGGGTGTGGGAAGAAAGCTATAGGGTGCAGGAATTAACCCTCCTCTGGTATGTATCTTGAATGGGCCCATACACAGAAGGCCCGTTTTATGTCAACAAGTTTGACTAAGGTGAAGGTGAAGTGAGGTGACTGTAGGGGACATTTGACAACTGTGCCACCAAATTGCTTCTTCTTGGGTCTTCTTCACCCTTCCTTTTCACCTTCTTAGGGTTTGCTTCAGATTCCCCCAATTTTTGCTTGTGCATGCGCTTTCACTAGATTTTGTTCAACATGACTCAAGATCTCGAGATGAAGGATCGCTCAATACCTTCCAACTCCGTTTCTTCACCTGCTCCGTCTACTCTGCAGCGTAAGCAATTTTTCTCTAACAACTTCCTCTGTTCCGATTTTGCAGTTCTTCAAAGTCGTTTCAGTTTTTCATTTTTTTGCATTGTGGTTTGTCTCGCAGATTTGAGGGAGATAGCGTCGCTTATCGAGACCGGTTCGTACTCGAAGGAAGTCCGTAGAATTGCTCGTGCTGTTCGCCTTACAATTGTGTTGAGGCGTAAATTAACATCGTCGATTATCTCGTCTTTTCTTGATCATGTGTTCACTCCTGGTTCTGAAGCTCATGCCAAATTGTCTGCGTATCTTCCCAAGGTGAACTTCAAGTTAGATTTAGGGGTTGTTCATGTTGAAAAGGACTTGTATATTTTGTGCATATTAACCTGATTTGAATTTTGAGGTGGACGATTCTGAGTAGTATTTTTTGGTCCATTTAATTCAAAATCTAAATTATGATGCCGACGAAGTTGATGATCCCTCTAAGAAGGCATCCGTTGATTTAATTGCATGGTTGAAAATTTTGCATAATTTAACTTCTAATTAACTGGATAGTGGATTTGGGTCAATTAGTGTATTTCAATGATTTTTTGAGTCACAATGTTAGCACTGATTGTGTAGGAGGATGATCACGAGATGGAAGTGGATGCCGCAACTTCTGCAATTCAAACTCCAGCTAAACACTTGTTGCCCGAGCTAGAAATCTACTGTTACCTTCTTGTACTACTTTTTCTGATTGATAAAAAAAAATACAATGAGGTCAGCCCCCCTCTTTCAATTTTGC